GTGTGACCTTGAACCATTTGTTTAAGTTTTCTGGGACTGAGATTATCCATTTGAGAAATAAAAAAATTAATTTCCTAATAACACTGTGCTTCTTTCTTGGCAGTTACTGTATGATATGGATAAATATTTATGATTGAAAGTATTCAGTTTTACTTAAAATTTTAATAAATAAGGTATAATATATTATATTATGTTAATTACCCTGGTTTTAAACCATAATATAAAAGATGTTACTTCTTGTTATGTTATTCTGGTTCTGAACCAATCAGAACATCATTACTGGATTCAAATTATTTCTAATGATACTGTTGAAATAGGTATGACCTTCAAGCCCAGAATCTGTAAAAATTATTTTTTCTTATATGTTTGGACTCAAGTTCTTCCACTGAATTTATAGTATATCAATTCTAACATCAAAGGTACGGATGGCAAATTTATGGCTTGTCCATATTAATGTGTGATGGAATTTATGGAAACTTGGAAATGTATTTTTAAACTATGCTTTCACTTTTTTCTTAAAAAATAAAAAGCTTAGGTCCTGATCTAATACAAAATTTTGAAGGTTTATAGAAGAGATTAAATAGTTTACCATGGTTTAATTTCCATTTAGATTTCTTTATAATGAATTTGAAAATTACCTAGTTATTAAATTAAATAACATAAAATTAATATTCTAATTCTGAATTGAAGAATACATGCAACTACATTTCATGCTTTGAAAAAGAGGGTTCATAAATCCTATATCACTTCCTCATCAGTAGTTACTGAGTTAATTGTACTTAAATCTGCTATAATTAATACAATGGGCAGTTATTCCAACCTTTCAAGGTGTTTCATTGTGTATGATTTCAATAAGAATCTTAGCATGGAATTTGTCTTCCAATTTTATTTCAGATTAAGATTGACTATTACATTGGACTTTTTAGTAAATGTTGATGTTGCCAATGATTTGTAATGTTTGCATTTTTATAATTAGGAAACATTTCATAAATATATGTTTGTATAGAGATATTTTTCAAATGTGTAACATCGACATGAAAGGGACACATTGAGTGGCTGCCACCCTCACAACCAATCAGGGCCGGGGACAAACTGCAACCGAGATACATGCCCTTAGCGGAAACCGAACCCGGGCCTCTCTGGACCGCAGGCTGACGCTCTAACCACTGAGCCAAACCTGCCAGGGCTATAAAAATCATTCTAAACAAAGCTTTAGATATCCCACAAGTTGGAATACGTTGCATTTTCATTATCATTCAGTTCCAAATGTTTTATAATTTTCATGCAATATCTTTTAGACTTATTGACTATTTAGAAGTATATTTTTCCATAATATTTGGGAACTTCCTAGTCACTTTCATATTGAAAAGTCAGAGAAAGGCAAGTACCACATGATCTCACTAATTTACAGAATATCATGAACAAAATAAGCTGTTGATCAAAACAGATCCAGAGACATGGAAGTAGGGAACAGACTGGCAAACCTCAGAGGGAAGTCGGGAGAGGAGGATGGGAAGAGATAAACCAAAGAGCTTATATACATATATGCATAACCAATGGACACAGACAATAGTTTGGGAAGGCAGGAGGGGGGTAGAAGAAGGGAGGAGGGAGTCAATGGGGGTAAAAGGGGAGGACATCTGTAATACTTGCAACTATAAAACTAATTTCTAGCTAAATTCCATTTGTTTGGGAATATGCTAAGACTTTGATTCTTAGCAATGTTTTAAGACTTTCAATAGCTTAGCATGAAGTCAGTTTTCAGTGTTATTTTGTTCAAACTTTCTATATCCTTACTGACTCTTTTGCCTATTCTTTTTTGTTGTTGTTAATCCTCACCTGAGGTATTTTTTTCATTGATTTTCAGAGAGACTGGAAAGGAGGGAGGGAGAAAGAGAGAAACATTGATGTGAGAGACGCATCGACTGGTTGCCTCCCACATGACCCTGATCAGGGCAGGGATTGAACCTGCAACCCAGGTACACACCTTTGACCAACAATCAAACCTGTGACCCTTCAGTCCCTAGGCAGACACTCTAACAAGTGAGTCAAACTGGCCAGGGCTTTGCCTATTCTCTCAGTTGCTGAGGGAGATGTGTTAAAATCTTTCATTATTGCCCTGGACAGTGTGGCTCAGTTAGTTGAGCATCACTGAGAGAGAAGTCACTGGTTTGATTCCCAGTCAGGTCTCATGCCTTGGTTATGGGCTTGATCACCAGTAGGATATGTGCAGGAGGCATACCATAAATATTTCTCTTCCTCTCTCTGAAATTAATAAAAAACATTTTAAAAAACGATTTGTCCTGGCCAGTTTGGCTCAGCAATTGGAGAGTTGGCCCTGGACTGAAGAATCTCTGGTTCAATTCTGGTCAAGGGCACTGTTCAGTCCTCGATCCTGGTGGGGGTTGTGCAGGAGGCAACCAATTGATTTTTCTCTCCCTCCCACTCTGTCTAAAGATAAATGGAAAAATATCCTCAGGTGAGGATTAAAAAAAAAATCTTTCACCATAATTTTGGATTTTAGTTCTATGAACTTTTCTTTCTTATAAATGAAAGCTATACATTTTAGTATCTAAAAGTTTATCAGTATATTATTTCATGATAGACTTGTCTTTTTATTATTATAAAATATCGCCCTTTAACTCTAGTAATTTTTTAAAATTTACTATCTACTTTGTTTGATACTATGTCAACATCCTAGCTTAATTTTGTATTAATTTCCATTCAAATTTTAGTCTTTCTATATTCTTATATGTAAGGTGTTTCAACTACAAGTGTTTTTTCAGTAATTCCAGAGGATCTTTGACTCTTTTAATCGGAGGATTTTGTATTGCATTTGCATATAATTGATTTTGCTGGATTCTGTTATTTCTGTAGAATTCTTTGTTTTACTCTCATCCTTCCTTGTGAGCTGAGTGTCCACACTGCTTTATTGACTTTAGGTTTTTCTATTTGTCTTTTGACGATGGGGAAGTAGGTAACATTCTCTCTCCCTCTCTCCCACCTGCTTTTTGTCATAGGAACATTATATCCCAGATAATAGTGTTGTTTCCGTCTGAGTCCCAGAATAAGGAGATGAGAGAGACAAACTGGAGCCCAACCAACAAACAGCCTGGAGCTCAGCTGCCACAGTCTAAGCTTCAGTTGCTAATGGGCAGCAGGAGCAAGACAAATATTTTCACAAGCCATGGAGATCTGAGGCTGTTTTTGTACTCATATTGCCCAATAAAAGTTTCTGAATCTAAAAAAAAAAAAAAAAAAATGGTACCAGAAATGTGGTGTTGCTATAGAAAAACATGAAATATGTGTCATTAACTTCTGGGTGTAGGAAACTGTTACAGGAGACTGGAAAATAAAGAATAACCCAAGCTATGCAGTGTGAGAACCTCTGGTAAGATTATCACCTGTGATTTCTTGGAAATAAGACCAGTTACTTAATAAACTTATTACCTGGTTAAGCTGCTGTTAGACAATGTTAATCACTTCAGTTGGATACTTTTAGCTGTATTCCTTAAGTTATTAAAAGACATAAATAAGATCAAGAAAGAATTGGTGTATTTGCCAATAGGAAAGAAAGAGAAAGGAGAGAATTCAGACATTCTTTGTACTCATCTGTTTATCCGCCCTTGGTGAGGTGAACCTATCACAGACTAGAAAGAACCTGGCTTTGGAATCAGGTAGACCCATTTCCACATTCCTGCTCAGCCACTGTGCTCTATCAGTTAAGAAAGGCTGATTTAATTCAGGCTACTAACAACTCCAAAATGTCAGCAGCTTAAATGACCCAAGTCTCTGTCTCACTTATGCCACAATCCAACACAGGGCAACTAAAGGTCCACTCATCAAAGCCCCAGTCACATTCACTCAAGTTCCAGACTGATGGAGGTTCCAGGTCACCATATACTTCCAAAAGGTACAGATATAAGTATATAAACATCAGGTTAACTTGAAGGAAATGGAGACACCAGTATGGGCTAAAGGCTGTTGGACATAATTCAGTAAAGGCAACCTATTCCTGCTTTCTTAGAGCCAACATGAATGTTCTAGCAGAACTTAACAGGAGTGCTACATTTTGAACAAGATTATTAGCACCCAGCCACCGTGACATGTAATCCACTGTTTAAATATTTGTGCATCATTCATGTTTACATCTTAATTAATACTTACTAAACCCAGGTATATTTACTAACCATCCTTTTAGCTCATCTAATGGTGATTTAGGCACCAGGCACTGTGGTAGACATGAAAGGGATGATAAATAAAGGCACAGTCTCTGATCTGTTTATCATCTCTAGAGAACCTATTGCAATGGCATGAGCCACAACACTCTAAGTGCCACCAAAAAACAAACAAAAAACAAAGCTCTAAGCCTGTTTCGAAAGCTCAGCAAGAGAAGGGTTTATTTATCATAATGGCGGGGGTTTGCTTTTCGTTTTCACCTGAAGATTTTATTTCAAGTTTCATGACAACCTCATCATGACTTACTCTTCATTGAAAACTCAGACCTATAATTAATAACAGATAGTTACAGAGTTTCAAATGTGTGCTCAGCATGTTCAAAGCACCTTGTATTTATTGATGATCTTATTTCACTCTAACAAAGAACCTTTCAGGTATCATTATTGTATGTTACACATGAGAAAACCGAGGCCAAAAGGTTAAGAAATTTGCCCAAGTTTGCAAAGCTAAAAAGGAGACCTGGGATTGGAAACCAAGCAGTTTTCATCAAAAGCCATGTTTTTGACCATTGTGCTCTTGTTACTTTTTTTCTGAAGTCTGAAGAGTTAATTTCCAGTTCCCCTTTAATACGTTCTAATGTATTAAATGACTTCTCATTTGTTCTCCAGATTCAGAAATTTTAGAAACCTTCTCTTAAAATATATTGTCACATTTTACTTTCTTTTTTAATGTAACAGACCCACAGCCTGGTAGAGAATATGCTTTTTGATCTAAGCATCTTTTCCTTTCTCTCTTTTAAATATCATTTATTTTCCCCTTAGGTCTCTACAGAAGAAGGCTTGGGTCTGGCCCGAGAGTATAACTGTGCTTTCTTTGAGACCTCTGCAGCCCTCCGATTCTGCATCGATGATGCCTTTCACGGGTTAGTGAGGGAAATCCGCAAGAAGGAGTCGGTGCCATCCTTGATGGAAAAGAAACTAAAGAGGAAAGACAGCCTGTGGAAGAAGTTAAAAGGCTCATTGAAGAAGAAGAGAGAAAACATGACATGCTAGCCTTACTTCTAACTCCTTACTCTCTCCCTTTCTGAATTTTATCAGCTGGACAGTTTCAGATGTTGCATTCTGTCTGTCTGTCTCTCCCTCTCTCATATCTGTCAGTAGGTAAAAGCAAGATCTGTGTAACTGTACCTCTTGAGATAGTTTTGTTTTGCCCTTAACAGTTGGGTGAGTTTTGTCAATCAGCCAGATATGCTGTTTAGTTTTTATAACATATGACTAAATAAAATTGACATTCGAATTGACTCATTTCCCTTCAAAGAGTCCAGCTTCATTTGGTATGCTGTCTGGTTATAAAGGAAATATTCAAAACTGCAGACAGAATGATAAAAGGCTCAGGGGATCTGCCTTTGCCTGATAAGACTCTGGTTGTTTACATTCCAGGAATGTCAGTAAAAATGAAGAAGCTCAGGAAATGATTCAGAACAGGAGTCCACACCCTGGTATTTCTTTAAATGTGGTGCTTTCTTTTAAATGCTCCATAGATGACCCTTGGAGGAATTATTAATAATAGAAACTGGTTGTGGGTCATTGGAGGACCAAAGTGAAATATTCCCATATTTACAGTGCTCTGCCCTGTTAAGTTTTGGCAAAATTGTCAGTGAAGTCACTGGACTGAGGCAAAGGGGTATTGTCTTTGTGTCGGGAAGAGATGGCTACAATGAAGTGGGGGGTTCACATACTCCTTAAAGGACACCCTGTTAGCTGTCAGAGAGGAGTCCTTCTCAGGGTTGTTTCATCTGCAGTGGGAATGTCTGCAGAGCAAGAGGCTTGTTAACTCTAGAAGCCCTAAATTTTATTTTGCCAACATTTCCTATCTTCTACTCAAACCATGCAACACTACCAATCAGGGGGCCCTTTTCTTGTTCCTTTGACAACAGATCATATTGTAAAAGGAAATTGCCCATTCACTCCTTTACCCCATTGTGTGAATTGATTTATGCAAATTCAAGCTCAGAAAGCACCCTATCAGAAAGGACTGTTCTGAAAGTGTAATAGACAGATGCTAAAAGCAAAGCCATGAATGGACAACTAAGCTGAGAAGAAATCTATCAAACGAATCTTTAGGAATTGGGGGTAGTTTTTATTATAAATTATAGACAAGGAATGATGAAGAGCTGACCATTCAACATGCAAGCTCTTCTTCCTTTATTCACAATGCCCTTGCTAATTGCTGAGAATGCAGGAATAAATCAAGGTGGCCTAACATCTAGCTAGAAGACTACCTCAGCTAAAGAACAGTGAAGTTATAAAATTTTATGTGGGAAGACAAATTTTACACAGTAACATGGGTACAACTGCAAAGAATTGAGAGATTATAATTTTTCAACTGGTGTACTAAAATCCCAGCTTTCCAGAATATTGTACTTGAGGGTCCGTTTGCTGCTTGGGACAGGGACTTTCTCAAACCCACAAAGACTTCACTGTCCTAGGCCCTGGAATCACAGCACTCGGCATGAAGTTATCATTTGTTAGTAACTGCTGCCACTCCGTCCCTTTGGATATTTCCCAACCCTCATCTTCTGTGGACTAGGGCACAAATTAATCAGTTTTCCCATCCCATATTGCCCCAAAAATCAAATCCACAAAAGGTATTCATAATAAGGAAGAAAAAGAAAAATCAAACTATTCAAAGAGAACAGATGTGGAGATGACATCAAGGTAGAAAAGTTCTAATATAAGTCAAAGGTCTGGTCTTTTCTTTTCCTTCTCCTTGGTTTTTAGTATTTAATACTCTGCTTTTGTCCTGTTATAATGGGTTGGTACATTCTTTGCCTGCTGCAGGCCCTGATCCCCAGAACCCTTCCAAACCTGGGAAGACCCTGTGAACAGTGCATTCCATCAGACTCTTCTGTCAGCTAGAAAATGTCATCTAGGAAACAGTAGTGGGCACCTAGCTTCATATGATGAAACCACAGCTTTGAAAACCCGATGACTGCCCTATCTGTGAATAACAATAGGGTCTGGCGTGTTTCCTAACACAACAAAGCCTTTGTAAATTTTACTGTCAGCTTCCCTGCCTTTGGCTCTGGAGATCTGTATCACATTTCTATCTTTCTCTTTCCTTCTCTTTCTTTATACTTTTCAATTGTTAATGAATAATTTATGTTGTTTAGAAATTCTTAGCAAGATTTAGATTGAGGAGCAGTTACCAAGTCCAATCATTGCGTTCTACAGACGAAAGAAGCTCTGTAAATGATCACCCAAGGGACAGCACAAGTTTGAGATAGCTGTCACTTGCAGAGATAGAGGCAGACTTCAAGCAATTTTTAAAATCAGTCTTCCTTCCAGAAGACTGGGCCAGAGGAAATGTGCCAGAAAAATAAAACCTAGGTACTTCTGCCCAATGAGTATTGCTTCATTCTCTTTCACATAAGACCAAAATTCCAGGATCTCATTTCTGATCACTCTCCCTGAAAAATTCTGACCAGACCTAGGGTATCTAAGTCAATCTCAAAATCTCGGAGAAGAGAAGAACCACAGTGTGTGTGTCTGCATTGCAAAGGGGGTGTCAAGAAACCTTTGAAACAAGAGTAACTGTCCATGGTAGACAACTGTGTAGTCACCCAACAGAAACCACCCTCCTGTGTATGTGGGGTGTGTGTGTGTGTGTGTGTGTGTGTGTGTGTGTGTGTGTGGTGAGGGACCAGAAAATTCTGAATACAATTTATGCTCTCCAGAAATGTATTATCTATCTATTTTTAGATGTTTTTCATTAACTTATCTTGTGGGTCCCTATGATAAAAATAATTTATCAGATCAGAGACAAATGGCAGTCTAAAATATTATATTTTATAGTTAGTGGGCAACAGATGAGCCTGGACATTTCTGTAAAAAATGCTAGTGAGAAGGAAACATGGGCAGTTGGGCCAAACATTATTTACTTCACACTCAGATGTGCAAGAAATAGATAGCTGTTTTACTTCTCTATAACTCATCTGTTCTTTCTCATGAGTCCCTGACTAATGGATAGATCAGGGCAGAGGAGACCAAATGTTAGTTTAGTCCAGTAATTTAGTGCTAATCTGAGGCAATAACATAAGAAATATCTTTAAATAACACAACCTCTAATGGGTGCACTTAGGCCAGCATCTGATCAGTCAACGTTCTGCCCTGTTTACTCTCCAAATTTGCATCTAGGTATAAGGGGAACGTAGGCATGGCTTATGTGACCTCCTGGCAGTAGAGTTCCCTCCTCTCATCTAATTTCTGTAGGATTTCTCTGCATCCTCTTTGATCTTTTAAACCAAGGATCTGACCTAATTTAAAATTTTTAAATTTCCTTTTCATAAGAACACTTGATATAAGGTCTACCATCTTTACAATTTTTTTTTAGTTTATAATATACTAGTGCTGATTACAATGCTGTGCATTACATCTCTAGAGCTTATTCATTTTGCTTGAAACTTTATGCCTCTGGATAAGTAACTCACCATTTCCCCCTCCTCCCAGCCCCTGGAAACCACTCGATTTCATTTACCAGATTGGTTGACTCTAAGTTATGTTGGATCTAGACAAGTGGGGCCACAATGAATAGGCACTTTCCCCTGGAGTCCATGAACTTCCTCCTTTACCTTTAGGTCTGAAGATTCTTCCCAAACACAGTCTCTTTATTCTGAACCTAGGTCTCTGCCAGTCGACCTCTGCATCCCCTGGGAATGGATCCCTTGCATGTCACACACAGGTCAGGGGGATTCCTGAGTACTGCCTCAATGAAGCTGTTGCGGCTTTCTGCCTCCACCTCTGTTTAGCTCATGTGAGACTGCCCAAAGGAGTCCAGTTTACTTCTAGCATCCTTAGCAAAAGTGCTATAAAAGCACAGACCAATTAGAGTGGAGATGGGCTGTAAGTAACCAGTGTGCCCATGACTGCTGGACACCTGTTCATGAGCCCCAGTGTCTCCAACTTCCCTGTGGTTGTTTGTAAGCAACCTCCCACCATTGGCCAGAAGGGCCTGGGGCGGTGGGATTAGGAAGAGGATCCTGCTGTATAAGCCATTTGCTTTCTTGGTGCCTCTGTTCCACACGGTCATATGCTTTTCCTTTCTCTAAGTAATCCTGCAGCAACATGCTGACATCTAAAGTAAACGAAGGGACAGAAAGAATTCGGTTGTCAAAGATGAGAAATGACTTTCTTGTTTTACACGGCTTCTGCTCTTCTGCTAAAGCACCAAAACACATGGCTTCCCAAAATGGAAACCCCATGTAGATAAAATGATATATACTTAAAAAGAAAAAAAGCCATAGGTCAAAAAAATGTAAATACAGGGGAATATTTATAAAATATTTCAAAACATGATCCTTGTTATACAGGCAACATCTAAGACAACACCTTCTGACAATCTCTAGAGAAATTAAGGTTCTAGTTCCTTTGGTTGGTTCTTTACATAATACTAAGTGATACTCTAAAACCTACCTGACTTAAATCCTCTACTGTCAGCTTGCCCTTGAACACTTCTACTTGGCCTGAGTTTTTCCCATTAAAGTTTCTGTTTCAGGTTAGATGGCAGAAGTGCAGTCATTCTTTCAGGTCATCTATCCACTACTGAACGTAAATGCAAAAATGTAACCATTCCATTAAAATGTCAACAACATAAGTATATTTGTCATATGATCTATTTGTCACTCTTTAAAGGCGTGGTGGAGGGGCCTGTGATGAAAGGGATAAAGAACATGTGAATTTCTACAATTAAAAAAAAGGATCTAAACCATACATAATTTTAAGGGGATAATAGGTTTACGTAGCCTACCATTCCTGGGAACTCTGGACATACAGGATAGAACAAAGGAACCAGAGGCCACCGGATGAAAGGATTGCTAAGGGAAATAAAGGATCTGACCACCAAAATAGGGCAGGAAATAAGAATACAGCAAAAAACACAACGTGGATAGACTATGTTCTACTCCATTCATCCTGTGCTTCGGTCCAGCTCTGCCTCCACTACTCCACATCCCGGCAAGACTGTCTCCCTTCGAAGTACGGTGCACATCATTAAATTGTATGGGGGAAAAGCACATCAAGAAGTCAACATTTTAGTCTAACAAAAATCTGGCACAGAGTTTTAATGATAATGTCAGTGTGATTTGTATTTTATTCATTTAAAAATATATATTCCATAGTATCTAACCTTTTTATCTTAAAAAAGGTTAAATTAAATAATAAATAAAATACTAGTGCTTTAAACAACCATATAAATCATGATGACCTGCTTCCCTCCTAGAGATGAAGACACTAAGGACTAGAGAAAA